CAATAATAGTTTATTAGTTACTACAAAAGCCTGAATACAGCACCATCTTTTTATGATAAGTTATATGTGGCTAATATTCCACAATTATGCAAATTACGGTACTTAAATATCGCTATCAATAACGAAATTTAATCGTCCAACATTCGTTAAGAAATCTATTCTTTTTTTTTAATTCTTATTCTTTAAACAGAAAAGAAGTTTGTAGTTATTACAAGGTGAAGTTACTGAATCATGCAACAGTTCTGGAGGAAACTTGAATAGCTAGAATTATCTTACTTAAATAAGTTATTATTTGTGCGCGGAATAGGGTTTTCAATTTTTAATGTCTAGTGATATTTTTTTTTAATGAATGAATTTTGAAATGAATTGTTTAAATTGATTTTGATTGTTTAAAATGAATGAATTTTGATTGTTTAAATGAATGAATTTTGATTTGTTTAAATGAATGAATTTTGATTGTTTAAATGAATGAATTTTGATTGTTTAATGAATGAATTTTGATTGTTAAATGAATGAATTTTTGATTGTTTAATTGAATGAATGAATTGTTTAAATGATGAATTTTGATTGTTTAAATGAATGAATTTTGATTGTTTAAATGAATGAATTTTGAAAAATGAATGAATTTGATTGAAATGAATGAATTTTGAAATGAATGAATTTTGATTGTTTTAAATGAATGAATTTTGATTGTTTAAATGAATGAATTTTGATTGTTTTAATGAATGGATTGTTTAAATGAATGAATTTTGATTGTTTAAATGAATGAATTTTGATTGTTTAAATGAATGAATTTTGATTGTTTAATACTAGATAGTTTGAGGTAAGAGGGGTTGATATTGCAATGATAAAAGATATCGTCAATGTATCGTTGATAAACATATGCAAATGTGAATCTGGGATGAGACAAATATATACAGACATACACTCAGACACAAAGACACACACACAGACACACACACACACGCACACACACACACACACACACACACACACACACACACACACACACACACACACACACACAACACACAAACAACACACACACACACACGCACACCACCACACACACACACACACACACACACACTCACACACCACACACGAACACACACATGCTAATATTGCTGCAATTGAAGTGACAGAATGAAAGGAATAGTGAAAGAAGATAAAGATAATAGTAATAGCCATGAATAAGGAATAAAATTATTATAAAGACTATTGAAGATGATTATGAGGGAATTGATAATGATGATGAAAGTGACGACGAAAAGTAATGAAAGTTGGAAATGTAATTATAATCGTTTCCGGATAATGATAGTGATATAATGATAAAAAAACGAAGAAATTATGAAACTGAAAATTATAATGAGACAGATTTTGATAATGATGATGATAACGCCAAAATATTGAATATAATGAAACAGATTTTGATAATGATAATAACGTCAAAATATTGAATATAATGAAACAGATTTTGATAATGATAATAACGCCAAAATATTGAAAATAACATATATGAATATAATTATATCAATTATAGTTATACAAAAAATAGCCCAAAGTTATTGATGATGATAAGGAATGCGTGAAATATAGTTACTGAAATTATGATATTGACGCAATCAGTGTTGGTAATTAAGATCATGATAATGATATCAATAACGAAGATGATGATATTGATAATGGTGATAATCCTATGATGATATGATTTAAGAAAGTGAGTATGATGGTGATTGTAATAATAACGATAATACTGACGAAGATAAAATAATGATGATGCTAATAACGATGATGATAGTGATGATAATATTGATAATGATAATGATGATAATGATGATGATATTGGTAATAATAATGATGATAATGATGATAATTGTAATAGTAATAATAATGAGGATAATAGCAGTTATAGTAATAGTTATAACAATAATGATAATAATAATAATGATAAGAGTAGTAATGATACTACCAGCACTACTATCACTAATGATAAAGATAATAATAGTATTATTACTAGTAATGAGATTAGTAATAATAATAATGATAATAAGGATGATAATAGTGACAATGATAATAGAAATAATAATGATAAGCATAATAATAATGATAATAGTAGTAATAATAATAATGATAGTATTAGTAATAATAATAATGATGACAGTGATGATAATGATATGAATAGTAATGATTGAGATAATGATAAGGAAAATAAGAAGAAATCTAATATTAATTCTTATATTTGATCTAATGAAAATTATGATATCAATAATGGTGTTGATAGCAATAATGATAATGATAATGATAATAATGATGATAAAAAAATCAATATTGATTATACTGATAATTGTTACTGACATGATATTCATAAGGAAAATGGGAACGATGATAATGGAACAATGATAATGACAATAATAGTAATGATATTTACAACAACAACAATAATGATAATGATAACAATAATAACAATGATGATAAGAATAAGAATAGGAAATAAAGATGATGATAATAAAAATTTTGATAATAATTAAAATGATAATAACAGTAATAATAATTCTAATAATGATGATGATGATGACGATGATGATGATAATGATAATAATGATAATAATAATAATAATAATAATAATAATAATAATAATAATAAAATAATAATAAATAATAAATAATAATAAATAATAACAATAATGATAATGATAACAATAATGATGATAAAAAATAGAAAAAAATGATAATGTGAGAAATTATAATGATAATGATATTAATGATAAAGTAATTATTTTGATGAAGACAATAATGATGATAATAATAATATTGATGCTAATGATGATAATGATATTAATGCTAAATATAATGATAACAATGTTGATGATTATAGGAATTGTTATGATAATAGTAATGATGATAATGATCATGTTAATAATAATAATAATAATAGTAACAATGATAAAAAAGATAATGAAAATAGAAATAATAATAACATTGATTGGTAAAGATAACACTAATAACAATAATGATAGTAATAATAATGATAAAAAAATAACAATAATGATAATAATAATAATAATAATGATAATAATAATAATAATAATAATAATAATAATAGTAATTATAACAACAAAAGTTATAATGATAAAGAGAGCAATAACAATGATAACAATAATGATGATAATAAAAGTAATAATAATGTTAATGATATTCATAACAATGATCATAATGATAATAATAATCATTATAATAGTAGTAATAATAATGATGATGATGATAATGATAATCATAATTATAATCATATTATTAATAACAATAATATATAATAACAATAATGAATAATAATAATGATAATGATAATGATGATAACAATAATAGTAATAATGATAATAGAATTGTAACAACTATAATGATAATAACAGTTATAATAACAATAACGACAATAACAACTATAATAACAAAAAAAATCATAATAAAGATAATAATGATAATAATAATAATGATTAAAAGAATATTGATAATAATAATAATGATAATAACAATGATAAGAATAATTATGATGAGAATGATACTTATAATAATAGGAATTATGATAATCATAATAACAGTTATAATTAAAATCATAATAGAAGTAATAACATCAATTATAATAACAAAAATACAAATGATAACAATAACAACCATCAACTTCATCATCATTACCATAATAATAGTGATAATCATAATAGTAATTATGATAATTATGATGATGATGGCGTCAGCATAGGAACGGCATGATAAGGTATAAGAATGAAAAAAATTATACGTTACAGAACGAGTAGAGAAAAATTACTTACTTGCGTTGTGTTGTGTTCTGAGTTCGTGATCTTAACACATGCTCAGGCTGGATCGATCTGCAAAACACTTGTGCGGCCCTTGTCGCTGTCTCTCTCCTCTTTCTCCTCTCTCTCTCTCCTCCTCTCTTTTTCTTTCTCTATTTCTCTCTCTCCTCCTTCCTCCTCTCTTCGTCTCTTCCTCTCTCTCTCGTTCTCCTCTCTCCTCTCTCTCTTCTCTCTCCTCCCTCTCTCCCTCTTCTCTTTTTCCTCTCTTCTTTCTCTCATCTCTCCCCTTCTTTCTCTCCTCTTTTTCCTCTCGTGCTCCCTTCTCCTCCTTTCCCTCTTTTTTTCTCTTCCCCTTCTTTCCTTTCCCTCCTCTCCTTCCTCCTCTTCTCTCTCTCTCTCTCCTCCTCCTCTTCCATCCTCTCTCCCTCTCTCTCCTCTCTTTTCTTTCTCTCCCTCTTCCTCTCCTCTTTCTCCTCCTCCCTCCTTCTTCTTCCTTCTTTTCTCTCTTTTTCTTTCTTCGTTTCTCTCATCTCTCGGACCTCTCTCTTATTCTCTCTCCCTCTTCCTTCCCTTCTGGCCCTCTATTTACAATTCCCTCCTTCTCTTTTTCCCTCTTTTTTTCACGTATCTCTCTTTTTATTTTCCAT